TCAGGCGGGCAGGCGGGCGGCTGTGGTGGGACCTGCTGCTCAGCCCCCCCGGGCAGCCGGGCTTTCCCGGGAGCTGCTGACAGGCGCTCCAGGACCACCTAGCCTGGCTGCCCATCCCTAGTCCGCGTCAACGTTTCTCTTGGCGTCTCTTGCCCACTCCAGGAAATTAAAGACGGTGCAGAACGATTTTATGACCAAAGTGCTTCCCAAACCGGAATGGGTATTGCAATTTGACATAAATGTACAAACAGACACATTAGCTTCCCAAGGAAAGGCCAGGCTATGTCTCCAGACAAACAGCTTGGCTCACGTATTCCCTAGAAGTGAGATCTCTGTGCCTAGTTCAGGGGCTTTTAAGGGTGTTTGTCATTCGCGGTGCTCCCAACGCCTGCTCGTAACAGCGCTCTCCCTGTAAGGGCACGGCCGAGCTGATCTCGCTCCCTCCTCAGACACAGCACAGGCAGACAGGGCTGAGCACCTCGCCTCTGCATATGTAAATAAATAAATCATAAATCAAAAGGGCCGTTGGATTTTTATTAGCACAAAACACCTTCTTGCCGAGCAGGCAGCCCATGTCTCCGAATGCTAAAAAAGGGTAGGAACGGGCTCTGGCCTCCTCCGAGTAAACACCCCTGGTCCGAGGGCTCGTGCCTGGCCCCGGCACCTGGAAGCCCCGTCCAGAGCTCAGGGTTCGGGACCGGGGAAGGTGTCCCGGAGCAGCCAAGCCTGGGGCCTCGTGCTGTGGGGTGAGCCTGTGTGCCACGCTGCCCGTGGGCTGAAGCCGGGCAGTGCCGGGACCCTGCTCCATCTCCCGCTTGGCTCTCTCCAAGGGCAGGGGCTCTCCTGCTGCCCGGGGACTTGTCCGTGCTCGGGGGGTGCAGGGGATCCATCCCCTTGCACTCCCCAGCCCCCTCCCTTACGTTGCAGTAGATCCTCGTCCTTGCACTGAAGCCCTTGTTAACCCCCCCAAACCCCCCTTACCTCCATCTTCTCTCCTCCCAGGTGGATTTTGAGGATGTGATAGCTGAGCCTGTGGGAACATACAGCTTTGACGGCGTCTGGAAAACCAGCTACACCACCTTCACCGTCAGCAAGTACTGGTGCTACCGGCTGCTCTCTGCCATCCTGGGCATCCCCCTGGCAGTCATCTGGGGCTTCCTCTTCGCCCTCATCTCCTTCTGCCACATCTGGGCAGTGGTGCCCTGCATCAAGAGCTACCTGATAGAGATCCAGTGCGTCAGCCGAATCTACTCCCTCTGCATCCACACCTTCTGCGACCCCTTCTTTGAAGCGCTCTCCAAGATCTGCAGCAACATCAGAGTTGCTCTCCGGAAGGAGATCTAGGTCCCTGCAGCCGCCCCCTCC